TGGCACGGTGCCCGGGGCTGTCCTGGGTGCCACACCCGGCTTTATTTCACGTGAACCCAGATGACTTGGCTGATCCACCCCCTGCCGGCTGGCGGGTACCCCAGGGTGCTGTGGGCGGGCCTTCACCCCGAGGGCCACCCTGGCCGGGCCTGGGCACCCACGGAGGTGCCGGCTCTTGCCCCTGACACCCAGCTTGCCAGTGTCCATGGCCAAGCTGCTGCCCTGTCCTCGCCCGTCTCTGCTTGAGGGGGGCCCCGGCCCCTCCCACCACACGCACGGGAGACGCCCTCGGGGCCATGTGTGGTCTCGCCCCTTGAGACCCCCACTGAGCTCGCCTGTGAGCAGGGGAGAGGGGTGAGGGGCTCCTGAGGGCAGTGCGCAGCACACACTGGCCTGTCCTGACCACTTGCAGTCCCCCCACCTGGCTGTGCCACGGCTCATAGGGGGTGTCCCGGGAGCCCCGCGAGGACCCCCCCGAGCTCGGCTGGCCACGGAGCTGCCACGGAACAGTGGACTCTGCAGGGGGTGCCATGGGGCACAGGGTCACGGGACACATGGATGGGAAGGGCCGCTCTGACCACACACGTGGAAGGGCCCAGAATGTTCCAGCGCCTTCCTGGGCGCAGACATGCCCCCGGAGCACTGGGAAGTGCTCACTTGGGCTCCCGCAGCTGTGTGAGAGATTTCCCTGCGGGTGGCCACAGGAAGGGCAAGGGCAAGTCCAAAGCCTCATCCTCCGGTCCATTGTCCCTCTTGGGCTCTGGCCTGGGTCCCTGACCCCGCATGGGCACCCCTGAGGTGGCTGGGCTCCAGCCCCGGCTCTCCACGTGGCCAGTTGCTTCTGTGGGGCTGGGACCCCACCAGGGCCCAGCTGGCCCGGCCCAGTCAGCCAGTGTGTGCTCCCAGCCCTGAGCCCCAGCAGCCAGCACTGGGGCCCACCCGGGACCCCTTGCGCCTCCTCCTTTCCTGCCCCTGGACCCTGCACAAGACCAGCTGTTGGGGTGAGGGGCTGGGCAGGTGGGGGCAGCGGGAGGGACATGGATGTTGGGCTCAGGCCCACGGGTGGCCAGTGTGTGCTCTCTGCAGGGCCCTGTGACCCCACCACTGACCAGTGTCCGGACCCAGCCAGCTGGTATCAGGCTGGCCATGGGGATGACCACGGGAGGAGTTGGCTCCCGTGGGCGACGGGGCTCCCGGCCTGTCAGCTGCTTCCCCCAGAGTTCGGCTCCAGGGGTCAGACAGCCCCTATGGGTTCCTCGCCTGCGTTTTAGAGTGACCGGGATGTTGCTTGATTTTCTCGGAGAGTCCCAGGGAGGCCAGCTGCCCGGACACGGCCGGAGTTTCCCCCTCGGAGGGACCCAAATTAATGGCAGCCGCCGTGACTTTGCTCTGTCCTGAGGTGACTGTTTATTACAGTCGGCATTTAAATCCCCCGATTAATAGGAGCAATTAAACAGTAGCTTCATTTTCAGCAAATTAACAACCCTAATAGGTAATTGCGACATAAATGAAGATAAATTTGTTTTAATACAACGAGATAAAAAAAGAGAATACAGACAAGCAGTGAATCACAGATGAAAGAATTCTTCATCCCGTCCCGGCAAACTCGGAGGCGCCGCTAGAGGAAGTCTGGGTGGATTTGGGTGGATTCGGCCGCTCCCCGGGCCAGGCCTCTGTGTCCCCGCCGGGGCTGGGGGCCGCTGATTCCCATCGACGGGAACCGAAACGCAGACGCGTGTGGCCGGCCGAGCTCCGTGTGCGGTGGCTGCTCTTAAGGTTTCTGTCACACCAGCGGTCACTCGGGCGCCTGTCACCAGCCGCCCGGACGCACCACTTGGCTTCTTGAAACCTGGGCAGGAGCCACCCAGGTCTTGGTTCGGAGTAAGTGGGTGCCCCAGGCAGCTCGGAGGGGTTAAAGGTCACGCACCGGCCGGACACTGGTGCTGGCCCTGACCCTGGCGCCCTGCGGTGAGACAGTCTAATGCCCCGTGAGCCTGCAGGGAATGACTGGGCCCTCGTGGCTTCAGCTGCAGGTCAGAACTCGCGCCCTGGGGCCGGCCTGCCTCGAACCCCCTTTTCTGGGTCAGGTGGGGTGTCTGGACCCTCCAGGGGCTCAGTTGGCTGCCTCCTGCCTGGCTGTGGGTCCCCACTGTCCCTTCTGCCCTGGACCCCTGGATGCTTCCTGTAGCCCTGCCCCACCCCCCTCCTCTTCCAGCTCTCCTCACCTCTCTGCCCCCCACCCCTCCCCTCTGCCCTCTGGCCCCCTTCCCCCCTCACCGTTCCCACCTCCCTCCCCTCCCCTCCCCACCCCTCTCACCTCTGCCTTGCCCCCAACTGCCTTTCCTCGGGGCCCAGGTTCACCTGCCTTGGCCCCTAGTTGACTCTGAGCTGGGCTCCCCACTAAGGGACAACAGCGGGTCTCGCCCTCCCCGGAGTTCAGGGCAGGCACAGCCGAGCACGCCAGGTGGCCACAGGCTGACAGGGTCGGGCAGGGGGTCGTCAGACAGCGCAGAACCACAGGGGCCCCCCGCCCGCCCCTCCCCTCCCATTCCCGAGGCTGTGGCTGTGGTAGCAGAGGGAGGGAGGGAGGGGGGAGGGGAGAGAGAGAGAGGGAGAGAGGGAGGGAGGGAGGAAGAGGGGGCAGGTCTCGGAACCCGAATCTCCCCGTGAGCATCGGCTGGCGAGGTTTCCTCCCGGCACGTCTGACTTCCGGCTCCTTCTCACTCGTTCCTCACCGAGTCCCAATTCAGAGCTTGGTATGTGGGTAATTAGTTTCTCCTTAATTAATCCGATAGCTTAATGATCACTCAGCCGTAATTTCCAGAGGCGCTGTGGCATGGGGGGACCTGGCACTCGTTACCGGAGATGAACAGTCCCGGGGCTCCCCGTGACTCCAGGGGTCCCGCCGCCCTCGGGCTCCGGGGACTGAGGCTGCCTGTGAGGCGCCGGCAGGACCCAGCGCGGGTTCGACGTGCCACGACGCCCGCCCCACTCACGCTCTCGGCATCTGGGGCCCCGTGGGTGGGTGTCCCCGTCGCCCCACCTGACGCTGCGTCGTCAGCCTGGGCGCCGACTGTGGCCGTGGGACCCGTGGCTTTTCCTGGCGCTCACGCGGTTTCTCCGTGTGCGTCGAGCACGGCCCTTTGTGGTCACTGGAGCAGGTCCTCCCACGGCCCAGCCGTGGCTCGGGTCCCGCCCTCTGTTCCCCGGAAAATTCCAGAACATCCCCTGCTGTCCAGAGCCCTCGTCTCTGAGGCTGTGGGGGCGTCTGGTCCTCCTCCGGAGGGGGCAGGGAGGCGTGGCGTGGCACCGGGCGCGTGGCCAGGCTTTTGTGGGCCCTCACCGGCCCCCTCCTGACACCCTGGAGGGAGGAAGTGAGGCCGCATGGCTGGAGGCTTTGCTGGGGTCCACCCACGCTGCTTTCCTCTGGGCACTGCCGGCTCACGACCTCATAGAGTGTGCAGTTCATTGCTTCTGTGTTTGGGGGTGTTCCCAAACAGTGCTCAGCCCCCCTCCGTCCCAGTGCTTCTCGCAGCTGGGCAAGTGGTTCAATGCGAGTGTCCAGGCCTGGGATGCCGCCGGGGCCCTGCAGTGTTGGGGACCCCCAGGCCAGCCTTCCGCAGCACCCGTAGATGCTCGGGAGATTCTGGCATCCCAGGACCAGGCCAGGCGGGCAAGGCGAAGCCCTGTCCGGTCCCTCAGCTTCCCGCTGCTGATGACTTGAAAGAGACGGGCAGGTCGGCCGCCCCCCTTGCATGTGGCTCGCCCGGGTTCAGCCCCGCACCCTCACGTGGTGCCCGTGCACTGCCGGGGGTGGCCCCACAGCCAAGGAAATAGCCAAAGGCTGCTAGTGCCAGTGTGGGGGTGCTCGGGGCAGCCCGGACGGGACCCCAGGTTGCCCCTGGGTGGGGCGCACTCAGCCGCCTGCGCCCATAGTTCACTGCTGAGTTTTGTGGGTGGCTCCGATGTCCCGGCTGTGAGGCGAGGATGCCCCCCCCCCGAGAGTGCGAGTTGGGCGCAGGGGCCCTCAGGTGGGCAAGTGAGGGGCCAGTGTCCACCGCTGCCTGCAGATGGCCTAGAGGCTCCCACCCCCCTGCTCTGCATGTTCTTCAGACCTCAAACGTCTCAGGAAGCGGCTGAGACCGGATCGCCCTGATTTGAGGCGGCCACACCAGTCTTGGGTGCCTCAGTTTCCCCGTCAGCAGGGGTCTGGGTCCACTCGTCTCGGGGTCCCTGTCAGGACGTTTCTGCTGTTCTCATGGGCACCCTCAGAGGTTTGGAGATGGTGGGGTGCCGCGAGACTCTTCTGTGATGTGAACGCGATTGGCTGGTGCAGGTGGGGGGGTCCCGGCCCTTTGGGATGAGCAGGGGCTGAGGCGGGAGGGACTCGACGTACCCCCCGTCCTTCCACCGTCCCCTCTTGCCCCTCCTTGACCCCAGGCAGTTCCTCGCAGACAGCGGGTCTGCCGGACAGATGCCCTGCGAGCGCGCACGCCCCGAGATCAGAACCTCGGCCTGGCCTCTGGCTCCTCGCCTACCGGCCGGGAGTCTTCTGATCGCCGCTGGCTGCCTTCCCCTCGAGGCCCCGCGTGCCTTGCCAGAGCACTAGGGGCTGGGAGTGTCGGGTACGGGTGGAGAGAAATGTCCAGGCACTCCGTGGTTCATTCTGTGACACGGCACCTTGGAGGCTGGGGACCGGGGCCGGCTGCAGGGGCTGGGCCTGGTCTTTCTCCCCAGGTGGCTGCAGGCACTTGGTCCCCCAGACAGCGCAGCCCACCGTGGCCTTGTTCCCAGAGGCTGCCGGGCACTTCGTGCTGGCCGCTGACTGAGGCTGTCCCCCGGCCCTGCGTCCACCCCGACATGGCTGGGGCCTGCCCACGGCCCTCACGGCCGCCACAGCAGGGGGGAACTGGGGCCGTGGCCCTGTGGCGACCCCGGGCACACGGCCAGCATCTCCCGGGGCGCGCGTCACGTGGCCTCCTGTCTGTCTGTCCCCACAGTGGCCCAGAAGATCGTCGCCACCAGGAAGAAGCAGCAGCTGTCCATCGGGCCCTGCAAGTCTCTGCCCAACTCCCCCAGCCACTCGGCCGTGTGCTCTGCTCAGGTGTCGGCCGTGCACGTCAGCCAGGTGCGGGGCTGGGGGGCCTGGGGGTGCCGTCGGCCGCTGGGACCCAGAGCGCCGGCCTGGCCGCGGGCAGCTCAGGCTGGCGGGTTTGCCCGTTTGGACTCCTGATGTCTGGGCGTTGGCCCGGGAGCCGTGTGCTTGGCACGGGATGGCTCACCTAGCACTGGTGTGCAGGGCACCCTCGGGGACCATCCCCTTTGCTTCCCGGACCCTGTCCCGGCCTCCTCTGGCCACCTGAGAGGTCCCCAGGTCGGGGCACAGCCCAAGTGGCCCATCCCATGTGAGCCCAGTGCCCCCTCGAGGCCCCAGGGCGGGGGGTGGGGTCCTGCTCGTTTGTTCTGGGACACATCGGCCTGTCCCAGGCACCCCTGGAGGTGCCACCCCGTGTCGTCAGGGCCCCCCGCGGGCAGGTGCCTCTGCCCACTTCCTGTTTCTAAGGAGGGTTTGGGCTCCTGCTGGCGCTTTGCTGGGGGGGGGTGCTGTGGGTGGGTGGGCGCTGCAGTGGGGGAGGACAGCGGCCAGGGGCACCTTCCCCACGCTCGCTGTGGCCCTCGGGCCGGGCACGAGTCTGTCCCTCCCCTGCCAACCCCGTGGAAGCAGGTGCTGCATTTGCGCTCGCTCCTCAGTTAGGCTGAGTTTCCAGAATGTTCCAGAATGAGGAGGTGAGACTGAGTAGAAGAGAATGTTCAGGAATGAGGTGAGACTGAGTGGAAGAGAGTGTTCTAGAACGAGGAGGTGAGACAGTGGAAGAGAATATTCCAGAATGAGGAGGTGAGACAGTGGAAGAGAGTGTTCCAAATGAAGTGAGACTGAGTGGAAGAGAATGTTCCAGAATGAGGTGGTGAGACAGTGGAAGAGAATATTCCAGAATGAGGAGGTGAGACAGTGGAAGAGAATATTCCAGAATGAGGAGGTGAGACAGTGGAGGAGAACGTTCCGGAAAGAGGAGGCGAGCCTGAGTGGAAGAGAGTGTTCTGGAAGGAGGAGGCGAGACAGTGGAAGAGAACGTTCCGGAAAGAGGAGGCGAGCCTGAGCGGAAGGGAATGTTCTAGAAGGAGGCGCTCCCCGGGCGGCCGTGCCGCGGCTCCGCGGGTCAGAACCTTCCAGAACAAGGCCGGGCCGCCTCGCCAACGCCCCCTCCCCCGCAGACGAGCAACGGCGGCGGCAGCCTGAGCGACTACTCGTCCTCGGTGCCGTCCACGCCCAGCACCAGCCAGAAGGAGCTGCGCATCGACGTCCCGCCCGCCGCCAGCACGCCCACGCCCGTGCGCAAGCAGTCCAAGCGCCGCTCCAACCTCTTCACGGTCAGCGCGGGCGGGGCCGGGGCGGGGCCACGGCGGGTGGGGGCGGGGCCAGGGCTGCTAGGGGCGGGGCCGGGCGAGCGGGACAGGGGAGGAGCCAATGGGGGCGGGGCCGGGCTGGCGGGGGCGGGGCCACGGCTGGTGGGGGCGGGACCAGGGCTGCTAGGGGCGGGGCCGGGCGAGTGGGACAGGGGAGGGGCCAATGGGGGCGGGGCTGGGGCCGGCGGGGGCGGGGCCAGGGCTGCTAGGGGCGGGGCCGGGCGAGCGGGACAGGGGAGGAGCCAATGGGGGCGGGGCCGGCGGGGGCGGGGCCAGGCAAGTGGGTCTGGGGCGGGGTCAGGGCCGGCGGGGGCGGGGCCAGGCAAGTGGGCCTGGGGCGGGGTCAGGGCCGGCGGGGCCAGGGCTGCTAGGGGCGGGGCCGGGCGAGCGGGACAGGGGAGGAGCCAATGGGGGCAGGGCCGGGCCGGTGGGGGCGGGGCCAGGCAAGTGGGCCTGGGGCGGGGTCAGGGCCGGCGGGGCCGGGGCTGGTGGGGGCGGGGCCAGGGCTGCTAGGGGCGGGGCCGGGCGAGCGGGACAGGGGAGGGGCCAATGGGGGCGGGGCCGGCGGGGGCGGGGCCACGGCTGGTGGGGGCGGGACCAGGGCTGCTAGGGGCGGGGCCGGGCGAGTGGGACAGGGGAGGAGCCAATGGGGGCGGGGCTGGGGCCGGCGGGGGCGGGGCCAGGGCTGCTAGGGGCGGGACCAGGGCTGCTAGGGGCGGGGCCGGGCGAGTGGGACAGGGGAGGAGCCAATGGGGGCGGGGCCGGGCCGGCGGGGGCGGGGCCACGGCTGGTGGGGGCGGGGCCGGACGAGTGGGACAGGGGAGGAGCCAATGGGGGCAGGGCAGGGCCGGCGGGGGCGGGGCCACGGCTGGTGGGGGCGGGACTAGGGCTGCTAGGGGCGGGGCCGGGCGAGTGGGACAGGGGAGGAGCCAATGGGGGCGGGGCCGGCGGGGGCGGGGGTCAGGGCCGGCGGGGCCGGGGCTGGTGGGGGCGGGGCCAGGCGAGTGGGACAGGGGTGGAGCCAATGGGGGCAGGGCCGGGGCCGGTGGGGGCGGGGTCTGGCGGGTGGGGCGGGGCCAGGACCCGGGGGACTGGGCGGGGCCACTGCACACTTGGCTGGGGGTGTCCCGGGGCCGGCCTGGGAGCCATCACCAAAGTTCAGGCGGCCACTGCAGACTCAGGCCCTGAGCTAGAGGGGCCCTGGGAGGTCATGCTAAGTGTCCACCTGATGTGGGGTGCGTCACTGCTTCCCCCATGCAGCCGGGAGGGCGCAGACCCGTGGAGAAACTCTGACTGGCCACACTGGGGCTGTGGGTGGGTTGGGTGCCGTTGGGTGTTTCAGGGTACCCTATGCCCTCCCGCCCCTGCCTGACCCACCCTGAGCAGCGGCCCCCTCAGCCAGGTTAGTGCTGCCCTTGGTCACGGCGCCTGGGCCGACCCCAAGGGAAGGGCTTCCTGGGGCCGCTGTGAGCTGGCTTGCAGACAGTCTGGGCGACTCAGACCCTCCCTCCTGCTGCTCCCTCCCTGCAGGCTTGAGCCCCCCTTCACCCCATCTGCCCCTCCTGCCTGCCCCCGCCTACACGGCCAGCTGCCTGTGTGGCCTTGGGCAGGTTCCTTACTCTTTCTGAGCCATGTTGGGCTTCTGGGGTGCTACCCTTGAGGGTTCCCATCACTACCTTGGGTGCCATGAAGTGATTTGAGCGTCTTTGGTCCCCCGCCAGGATGGGAAGGAAACCCGGCATTTCTGCCCACCGTGGGGTGCCCGATGTGCTGGCCCTTGTCTGCAGGGCAGGGGCGGGGGGAGAGGGGCTTCCTGCGAGACCCTCTGGACCCCCAACACAATGCTCCTCAGAGCCAAGTCAGGCGTCACCTGGGGCCCAAGTGGTCCCGCTCTGCGAGGGCCTTTCTCTCAAACAGCCGCTGACTTAGCCTGGCACAGAGGACACAGCTGGACCCTCGGAGGTCCATCTGCTGTCCTGGAGTCCAGCACAGCTGCCGCCAGCAAGGGCCCACGTTTGCGGTCCAGGGAGCAGCTGAGTGCAGCGGACACTGGAGACAAGGGCGGGCCCAAGGCCTCACCCATGGGCACCTGCGTTATACCAGGCAGGATCTGTGGTTGTGGCAGGTTTGGCCTCCAGTACTTGATGCTGGAGAAGGGGAGGCGGGGCTGTGGAGGACGCCTCGCAGGGTGGTGGCATTTCCGGTGGAGAGCGCAGAAATAGCCCTTGGGCTCCACTAGATGTCAGCGTCCGCCCGGGAATGCAGCCGCTCCTGGAGGCGTGAGCAGTTAAGGAACAGGATCCCACCGCAGACTTCTCCAGTGGGCCCGATCGGGCCGTCCGTCTGTCCATGGTGGCTGTCGGTGGTCACGGCAAGCGTGTGCCACCTGCCAAGCCCCAGGTGGGCGGCAGCCGCGCAGCCGGGACACGGCCCAGGCCCAGGGACGCCGGGCCTTCTGGTCGGACTGGGGGTACTTAAGCCGAGGCACACACGAGTCTTCTAAACGCCACGCACATAAAATTGGCGGCGCCGACCCCGCGCCTGCCTCTCCGGCTGCCCCTTGGTGCTCACACAGACACACGCTTCCAGCCCCAATACGAGCACATGCGCTTGCTCCCGTGTGCAGACCTGCCCCCTCTGTGGGCGGCAGATTGGGGTTAGGTTTGCAGGAGGAGTCGCCCTTCACCCAGAGAAGCCGGACCGCATTTTATTTGCGTTTCTTTCTTGGAGGAAATGAAACCCCGCGCGGAGCTGAGCCGGGGGTGGGCTTCGGACCGGGAGGCGGAGAACAGTCATTGACTTTCACGGCTCTCATTTACATGCGGCTAAAACCGTTTTTATTAGCGAGTATCTTCAGACCCATGGGGATAAATGCCCTCGCGTGTGCTCGGAGGAGATCCATCACCCCCACCCCAACCCTGCGGGTCTCCCAGGCCCCCCCACCCCCCTCCCCACATTCTGGGCCCCATTGGGGGGCACTTGAACTTGGCATGCACCAGCTTCAGCGTTTTACCCGATGGTCCTGGGGTATCGCTGACACGCGCCTGTAAACACACACCCCACAGGTGCGCCCGTAGCCGGGGCAGTGGGAGACCCCGTGGTGAGGAGGGGCCGGGCTGTCACTGAAAGAGCAGCAGGGACTTGGGGTGACCACCAGCAGTCAGGGCAGGGACAGGCCCCCCACCACAGCACCCCAAGGGACGCTGTGCACCCATCCCCCTCTCAGCCCCCCGCACCCCTCATCCCCTCCAGCCTCCTGTGGTAGGTGTGGCCACCCGACTCGGCCTCTGTACAACGCAGGGACCAGAGCTGCTTCATGTCTGAGGGCCCAGAACCCTGGCAGCGGGGCCAGGGGCCCACAGACACTGACGTGTTCTGTGACATTTGTGTATGATTGTGGGTGTGTGGGTGGGTGGGTGGGTCTGTGTGTGTATCTGTGTGTTTGTGTGTGTTTATCTATGTGTCTGTATGCTTGTGTGTGTGAGACTGTGTGTCTGTATACGTGTGTATGTATGTCTATGTGTCTGTGTATGTTTGCATCTGCGCGTTTATGTGTCTATCCCTGTGTGTGTCTGTGTTTGTGTATGTGTCCATGTGTCTGTGTGTATGTCAGTGTCTCTGTGTGTCTCTATGTATGTGTGTTCATGTGTGTGGGTGTCTATCTCTGTGTATGTTCATATGTGTGTGTGTTCATGTGTGTGTGTTCATGTGTGTGTGGGTGTCTATGTATCTCTGTGTCTGTGTGTTCATATGTGTGTGTTCGTGTGTGTGGGTGTGTGTTCATGTGTGTGGGTATGGGTGTTTGTGTGTGTGCGTGGGTGTGTGTATGTGTTTGTGTGTGTGTTTGTGTGTGTGTGTGTGTGCTCTGTCGGGTTTCTGTGCCATTATCTGGGACACAGGCCGAGGCAGGGCTGTCTCCTGCCCGTGCTGGCGTCGCTGCCCCGCTCTGCCTGTGTCCTGGGAGTGCCCCGTTCGGTTGCGTTGCGTCTGGGAACTGAGCTGGGGCAGGCGGGCAGGCTGACCGGGCACACCAGGGGCCGCCTTGAAGATGAGGTTCTTTCTTGTTGATTTGTAAATGTTTTGTTCTCGAGTCTGGGTGTTGAGAGAATAACGGAGATGGATTTCCAGATTAGGAAACGGGGAAATTCCAGGAGGGCACTACCAGCATTCTGCCTAGGAGCCTCCTGGGCATGGGGCCCGTTGGGCCTTGCCCCTGGGCACACGCGCGCAGGAGTCCGGGAGCGGGCGGATGGACAGGACCCCCAGTAGAGCAGCGTGTGTGCGGGAGGTCCAGGTGCCAGCTCCGGGCTTAACGTCCCCGCCCTGGGCCCAGCCCCTCCCTCGGGGCTCCGGGATCACAGTTTTATGTCCATCCGCGCTGGGCCGTGGCATCCCCAGGCCCCGTCCACACTGGCAGGTAGGTGGCCACCGGCCCCGATCCCGGCTCATCAGTGAGGCATTTCCCCAACCAGCTATGGGGCCTCCCCGGCCCCCCAACGTCTCCCCCTGGAGGGCCCCCAGGGGCTCGGCGCCACCCGGCCACACCCCTGGACACAGGGAGCCCCTGCCCGCGCGCCTCGCAGCCCCGGACACCACCCCCGTCCCTGCTTCATAGATCATCCCAGATTTGAAAAGCACGTGAAAATGTTTCTCCATTTTCAATATTGCGTGAGTAATGTCCCCATTGAGAAGTAATGGGGTGAAGTTGTCGCTTGTCAGCGCAGTTATTAAGGAGGACGAGTCTCAGGTCTTTCTCTCATAATAAAATAAATCTGTCAGGCGATCCCTGTGCTCACTGCTCAGGCCACACGGCTGCGGCCAGCCCTGCCGCGTCGGCCTCCCCGACAGGGGCACCCGGCCAGCGACGCGTTGCTCTGTGTGGCACCACGGGCATCGTGGCCCCCTGCTCCTGCCCCCCCCCCCATTTATTTTTGTGGTGGCCGGAGCCCGGGTCCGGGCTGTGGTCCGGCCGTGCAGAAGCCACGCGGAGCCACGTGAGTGACGTCCTGGCAGGAGCGGGGGCCCCGGCCAGTGGCGTCGCGGACGTCTGAAGTGCTTCCCAAGGTAATGAGATGCCCGCACAGAGGCGGCGGCGGGTTCCACAGATGCCGCTTCGCTGCAGCCCGAGAACGTTCGCCTCATTTTCCTCCGCGCTCCACTGGCCGCCAGGAATTGAATTTCGAACTCTTTTAAAAAAGAATTAAAAGGTCGTTTTTTTTTGCAGCGGCCAAGTTTAGAAAATTCTTTGTGAACTGAGGGGGTGGTGGAGTACTTCCTGGTGTGCACCGCGGACAGGTGTGCGCGCGAGCATTTATGGGGCGGGGACAGCCGGTCGGACGCTGTGCGTGCGTGGACAGGTGTGGCGTGTGGACGAATGTGTGTGTGCGTGGATCGTGTCGATGAAGGCGCATGTGCGTGGGTTGTGTGTGTTTGTGTGTGTGTGTGTGTGTGGCGGGGGGTGCCTCGCGCATGTGAATAGATGTGTGCGTGTGTGCGTGTGTGTGTGTGCGTGCACGCGTGTGGACGCACCGCGCAGCCTGGGCTGCCGCCGGTGCCCGCAGCAGGGCCCGTCCCGTGGGGTCCCCCTCGGCGGGTCGCGAGCCCAGAGCCCTCCCCCGCGGCTGACTTTGTTTTTGCCTTGCAGTCTCGGAAAGGGAGTGACCCCGACAAAGAGAAGAAAGGCCTGGAGGGCCGGGCGGACAGCATCGGGAGCGGCCGAGCCATCCCAATTAAGCAGGTACGTGGCCGCCCGTCCGGGCTCCTCGCCCGAGCCGCGTCGCGCCGGGCTCGCGGCACGCCGGCCCGCTCGCGCCGAGGCGGGTTTGATGTGCGCCGTTGATGAATGCCGAAGTCACTCACTTGACATCAATTAGAAGAGGTTCCTGTGTGTATTAAAATAGGATCATTAGAAGAAGGAGCGGGCGATGTGACAACATCCCTAATGAAGTGCGCGGCCCCGCCCGCCGCCGCCGCGGCTGTTTGCTGCTCCGGCCGCCTTCAAAGGCCGCCTTTGTAGCCGGGCTTTGATTGGGCCGCTGGCCGCTGGCCGGCAGGGAGAAGTCAGATGGCCGCGCGAGAGCCCCTTGTGATCACAGGCCGGCCCGCCGTGGCCCTAATTTGCTCGCGCAGACGGACATCTGAACGCCGTGGCAGGCCGGTTTGTAACCACGAGGCAATTAGTCGTGATGATCAGAGCGGTGTGTCAGCTGTGCGCTCTTGTTTGTAATTTGCTAATGAAGGAATTGTAACTTTGATTAGGTTCAGTTTCATTTAGGCCTTATTATATAAAGGAACATTTACAGCTGTAATGTGGGGCCTTAATTAAACTTCCTCATTACCCAACAGGACTCGTCGGAGCATTTGTTTTGGCCCAGGCTGCGAGCCGGGAATAGGTTTGCGTCAGGCCCGAGAGCCGGGTTAGTCAGAGCCAGGAGCGCGGCGAGCTAGCTGCTGGGCCGGGCGGCCGGGGGCTCCTGGGGACGCGCCTCCCTGCGGCCGGGCCGGGTTCCGGGTCCCACACGGCCGTCGTGGGCGCGTGCCCGATGGATGTGACTGTGTGCCTGTGTGACCTGTGTTGGCCGCAGCCCAACTTCGGGCGTCCCTGGAACTATTTCAGGCGGTCCCAGCGTCCCAGCTCCAGACGAGGCCCAGCTGGGGACCCCGTTTCCCTTCTGGTTCCTGCAGTGGAACCTGATCCACTCATGACACACCGCCGGGCACCGGCCACCGGCCACAAGCCTGGGACCGTGGACCTCCCGCCTCTTGGCTGCCCGCAGCAGGCCTGTTCCCACTGGGGCCGCGGCCGGCACAGGTGACGGATGAGCTGTCCTTGCGTGCTGGGGACGCGAGGGTCCCTTCCTCTGCTCTTCCTCGCTAATAAACCAAAGCTGAGCGGCCTGGAGAGTTTCCGGGACCCTTGGGTCACCCATGGCCGCTGTGGGGAGGCCAAGCTGCCCCGCGGTCTGTCCCCTGCCCAGTGGCGGCACTAGGGGTGGGGGTTCACTGGTTAGCGCGACTCCATCCGGGGCTGAGTCAGCGTGAGAAGGAACGTGGGTCCGACACAGTTGACAGAGCATCAGAACCGTTGTGCTGGGCTCAGAGGGCTCCTTGGCCCCATGGCAGAGGGACAAACGGATGCCCCAGAGTGACAAGGGGTCCTGACGAGGCCAACATCAGCCCTGCGGGGGTCTGGGGCGTCACGCCGAGTCTCGGCCTATCGTCAGGCTGCCTGTGGCAGCCGGGCAGTGACCACACAGGGCTCAGGCCTGGGGGTTTCCCGCATGGTCCCCGCTGGCGAGAGCCCTCCAGAGGGCGCAGGACGGCAGCTTCCGCCTGACATCCAGCAGGGGAGCCCGACCTCGTGCGTGTACACACGTACACCAGCAGGGCCATTTCACATATGTCTACACACGTGTGTGGGGACACACGTGTGCTCACCCAAGGGTTGGTGCATGACCCAACCTTCAGGGTCTGTGTTTTGGAGGCTCACACGGGAGCGGGAGCACCCTGGAACCCTGGGAGCCTGGCGGGGTCAGCCAAGGCTGGCAGTGAGGGGCGGCAGGGCAGGGGGTCCTGGCCTGGGTGGGCACTCTGCCCCCCCACCCCCACTCTTGCTCTCCGATCATGCAGGCGCTGGCGTGTTGCAGTGAAGGCCTGTACCCCGGCCCAGGCGTGTTGCCTGGGAGTGAGCACGGCCCCCGAAGCTCCGGCTCCAAGCCCCCCTCCTCCCTTTCTTCTTCGTGGGGTCCCGGCTCTTGGGCTCCTTTTTAACTAATACGGAAGGTCTATTTGGAATCTAAAAAAAAGCCCAAAAGCCGAGCGAGGAAAATAAAGCGGCCGAGGCCATCGCCCGGCGAGGGGGCCTGTCACGTATTAATTTTTCATTGCTGTGGAGAGTTGTACATACATAATCACTTGATTGCGGTGGGAGTTGGGGAGCTCCTAGGGCGTCATTTGCATAAATCTTGTTAAGTCAATGGCAGTTAATGAAGTACAAATGAGCGCGGAGAAGGTGACATGTAAATCGTGGGTGGCAGATGGGAGGTCTGTTTGGGGGCCGGCAGCTGCGCGCTCGCCTTTCTCCCTCTCCTCCGCGCATTTTTAATCTCCGTCTCCAGCCCCGCTCAGCAGCCTGGCGTCGCCCCTCCCGGCAGGCGCCCGGCCGAGCCCCCCGAGCCCCCGGCCCGACCCCCAGCCACACCGGCCCCGCGCGTGCCCGCCGCCTCCAGCACGTTCCGCGTCTGCGCGTCTGTGCCTGCGTCTTGCACGGCCGGGGAGACCTGCACCCGTTCCCCTCCGGGGTGGGCACCCAGGGGACCCCCAGGCCAGGCTGTGCAGGTCCTGGCGCGGCCAGTGGAGGGCAGCCCGGGCGAGGTTGGGCCGGGAGAGGAAGCCGGCAGCTCTGCCGAGCCCGGGAGGAGGATCCTGGCCAGGGCCCATGGCAGTGCCTGGGCAGAACCGACCCTGGCTCTGGGGACACGGCCCCGACGTGGGGGTCCCACGTTCCGTCCCCAGCACCTCGGGCCGCCGGTGCCCCTGGCCCTGTTCCCTCCCAGGCTTCTCGCCTCCGGGTGGGCCAAGCCCGCAGCTTAAGGCCGCTCTCGGGCTCTGCTCTCGGCTTGTACCTGCAGGTGCTCCGGGAACCCCGTCAGCCGTGTGCTAAGGGCTCAGGCCCTGTCCACTGCGTGCGTGTGGACACAGCAGGGGTGGGGGAGTGGGGCTGGCACTGTCCTCTGGTCTAGCCTGCCCCTCCCCACTGCCCCGGCCCGCCGATCCCCTGGCTGAGCGTTGCTTGCTTCAGAACGGCTCTGGGCATGGGGGGAAGTGGCGAAGTCCCTGTGACCCCCACCCCGGTGCCTCTGGCTGTCCCCTTCGCTTCTGCTGAGAACATGACCCCCTGATCCGGGCCGCTGTGGACCCTCCTTAACTTCCTTGCTCACCCCTCCCCCGCACTGCACTGGGCAGGGGACAGGTGCGGGGGTGGGTGACCCTCCGGAGTGCTCTTTCTCCCCGAGCCCCTTAGCTCACCAGGCAAGGCCTCGCTCCGCCCTGGGGCCCCGGGGACTCCCAGCGCACCCTACCCCGTGGGCGCCCACACTTGCCGAGTGGTGCTGGGACTCCCCAGGGGACCCCTTCAGATCGGGTGCAAAACCACCTGGGGTCCCGGGACAGCCGCAGGCAATCGTGTCCCGGGGGTGTGTGTTTCTTCAGAGCCTGTCCTGGACTCAACTCCCCCCCTTTGGCCTGCCTCCCTCCAACCGGAACCCGGGCCAGAGAGAGGGTACAGGGGGGCAGCGTTTGCGTCACACGTAGTTGACGTCAATCCGTCCCTGGCACCCCACATGGTCCCCCAAGCCCACCAGGAGTCGTCCCTGAGCACAGAGCACGGCAATCAGACCTGAGCACCCACGGGTGCGGCCCCCAAACAGAAACAGAACCAGGCATTGTGTCCCAGGTTCCATCTGTGGAGGTGGTTCATGGTGAGATACCTCCCCCCCTCGCCCCGAGACCCTCAGTTTCCCTGCGCATAGCAGCAGGACCCTAGACACGACCTAGCACAGCTGTTCCTCACTCTCTTCAAACAGGAGCCTAAAAGCTGGGTGGGGGCCACAGAGATGGTCCAATGGTTAGAGCGCTTTCCTAACATGCGGCTGTGGCCACAGTCCGGGTTCGAATCCTGACACCGTCATCTCCAGAGCCGTGTCGGATATGGCCCACCACAAACAAACAGAAAAGTCCACAATGATTTGTTTGGGGCCAGAGAGATAGCATCGAGGTTAAGGTGCTTGCCTTGTGTAGATCCAGCCTCGGTTCAGGCCCGAGCACAGAACAAGGAGGAAGCCCTCAGCGTAGTCAAGTGTGGCTCCCCAAAAAAAGTCGAGAGAGAAAGGAAACCCAGGTGAGCACCTCCCCTCCGGGGCCTCACCCGGGCGTGCTGAGACCAGCAAAACCCCCACGCATGTCCTGTGCTCAGCAACCCCCCCCCCCCCCGCCCACTCGTCTCCTACCATCCAGCGGGCTGAGCCCACAGCGCACACGCGCCTTTCCGGCCTCGCAGGAAGGGGATTTCTTATTGACCTCCTGACCTAGCGGCGACAGACCCAGTTCCCGAACTGACCGCCGTAGAGTTTCGTGGGTCATCCCAGAGAGTGGACATTGCTCTGCTCGCCCAGGGAGGCCTGCGGTCATTCCCGTCCCATCCAGCTCCCGGTCCGGCAGGGACGTTGGAAGAAGAGACACCACGAAGGATCTTCAGGGGCCAGGGTACATGTACGCACGCAGGCGTCCAGTGCCCAGGACTATGTGTGCCCTGCCCCCTGCCATGGCCACCAGCCCCCCGAGACCCCAGGGAGCGTATGTTATGGGCCTTCCCCGCTCGCTCGCCTGCTTCTGCCCTTCTCCGGGTCCCCCGTCATTTAAGAAGCCACCAGTCTGGGCCGGGGGAGCAGCACAAACCCTCGTTTGGTTTCTGGCATCACGTCGCCCCCTTGAGCACTGTGTGTGCACATACATGTATGTGTGCGTTCGCATATGTACGTGTCTTCAGGTATGTGTGTGCACTTGCGTGGGTATGCACGTATGTCGGTCTGTATGCCTGTTGTTGCGTGTGTGTGCATGTGTGCCTGTATGTTGTGTGTATCTGTGTGTATGTGCCTGCGTGTTGTGTGTGCATGCGTGTGTGCCTGTTTGTTGTATGTATCCGTGTGTGTGCGTGTGTGTTGTGTGTATCAGTTTGTG